AGTGCTGGAATGTCAATCCTCATTTCAACCTGATCTATAACTGTGTGCTTAACCCTCTGTACTATACATTTAATCCATTACAGAGATCATCAAAAAAAGTTGCTCAGATTTTTTTCAACTTTAAATATTTACAATTCAGTGAATGAAATCTCAGGATATTTTTCAACTGATAGTATTCACCATTATTAACATTATTCATTGTGCAGTTTATAAGATTTCCACAATTGCCAGTGTGAATTTCTTTTCACATAAATAGATGGGAAAATACATTGATACATTTGGTTGTGGGAGATAAGATTCTAAAATCAATTAGCTAGTTACCAAAAGAACTAGAAAATTGACTCATCTCATTTGTAACTCTTTGGTTCTTATGTACTGTAGTTACATGGACCAGGAACAAAGGAAGACAGGCAGTTCCAGAAAACAATAATCCGAGAACTATGTGTATTTGGGCATAAACTTGAGACAGTTTTATAAACATTATATTATTAAAGGATTAGACTAAAGTCTCCAACCATATCCCTGGAGAGACCCAATCCAGTTACTGTTATAGGTTACCTGCTTCTAAAGATTGGGAATACCTGTGAATTACTGAACAATTAAGAAACTAATCCAAATTAAGAGCTCTCTGGTCCTCAAAAGATAAAGATACACTCAAGAGTTTGGTTTAATAAATTTTAAACAATTTTAATTTAACAATTGATCATAGTGAAATGCTTAAAAATTGGTAAGCCATTAAAGTTCCAACACCAACATTGGAGACCCCTATATTAAAATGAACCTCCACTTTGACTTTTCAAGTCCTAGAAACAATGAAGACTATAATCATATTGAGGAAGAAAATATATTTTAAAGCAATTATTTAAATGTGTTCTAAAACAACAAAATCACGATGTGGAAACAATATGTATAGGTACTTAGCTTACATAGTGTATGAAAATAATATAAAGCTTTGTAAATGTAGATGAGGAACTATTACAATGAAATAGAATCTTGACACAATGTTTATAATAATTGGCCAAGTTATTTAGTTAAATACACTTTATCCTTCAAGGATCACTGAGATGATGTGTTAGGATTATATAGGATGGGTATTACATTGTTTTCATGGAAATGGAAAGGTTATTATAAACCCCCTTTAAGACAGAGGCAAAGGTTTAAAATCTTTTTTAACAGAAAGGTTAGTGACTTCATATTTTCTCCCTCCAGTACACCTCAGAATAAAGAGTTTCAGTTTATCTGGATATTTTTCTAATGTGGTCACGTGTAATACTGCCGTTTGTAGAGGGGTATACTCAACAATTGTTTTCTCTTCGTAGTAATCAGTTGGCACTGACAATGAGAAAGCGTGAATCAGTGCTAGAGCTGTATAGTATAGTTTGTAAAGGACATTGTTTCATATGAAAGGAAAGGTTTTGTTGTGCTGGTTTCATAGAGCTAGTTTTAGTATTGTCATTTCTGCATGATGATCACAATTTGAAGAGAATAACAAGTGGGAATTCTGAGTAGTTCAAACTTCAATAGATTAACACATCTAGTGTGTTTGAGAAATATGAACTCACCACAACAGACAAATATTTTTCTGTTTTTCACATAAGGAAGGACTGCAATGCAAAAGTTAAGCTTTGTAGCCATTACCAAATTACCCTGATTTCCAAATGCTCTAATACTAACTGTTGTGGAGATCATGTACAGTCAAAGCCTATATAACACAAAAGTCACAGACCGCAAGACTTTCAAACAGGAGTCCAAGATAAAATGTGCCTTTTGTTAACATGGTGACTGACATGTCAAAGCCATTTGTAACCGGATATATAAATATAATGTTTCAGTCAAAAAAAATGCAAGCATTGCTGAAGAATTTTAAGATATTTTGCATCTCCTCTTTACAGCCTGAGGCCTTTACAGCATGATTACTTAGGAATGCCTTTATTATCGTACAGGTTACTATAACTTCGTTTAGTGAAATACTTGAGATTTTTCTGTCCGGGAGGCATTATTGGCAAAAGTTATTTTGTCTGCACTTTTTAGAGTTATAATAAAAGGCATTTATAAGTAGTTAAATCTAATACTAAAACAACTTAATTCTTGCTGATGCCGATTTGAAAAAAGGATGTGAAAAGGGATAACTAATCTATTTCATGGTGGGGCTGAAAATATTTGAAAGTGTTAAATGTCAAGCTTGTTTTAATAGCCTATCCTCACAACATGTTAAACATAGAGATTATAAAGTAACTGTTTCACAGTAAAAGATCACATCTGCAAATAAATCTACTTATTTTTCAGGACGGCAACTACTAAAACCTGGAGACAATTGACTTTAAGGACTGATAGATATGCCTTTGCTACCTGGCTAAATTTGTTATATTCTCTATCTCCCTAAACTACACAAATACAGAATCTCCTGAATTAAACATGTGCTCCAATCTGTGCTGTTTTAATTGTCTATAAAGCAATTCTTTGTGTTAATCCCAGTAGATAAATCCTGGCCTGATACAGGTGTGTTTGAACAGACACCATGACCCAAGGGACAGCTTTATTTTTTAAATCTAGGACAGACATAAAAAGTAACAGGAAGTTCCACATTCTGAATCGCATCCTATATTCATATAGAAATCCTGGCAGCATCTCTTCTGGTAACTATGCCCATCCCTTATCAGAAAGTATTTTAATTCTGGGAAAGGGCTGTTTCAACAAGAGCACAGGGCTGGGCTACATCCTGGATATGATACCTTTCCATGGCAGGACATGTACTGTATAGACACAGACAGACAGGACCTGCATATCATTGAAGGGTGGAAGAAAACTGCAGCTTCTAGAAAAACTAAGCAAACAAAAGGAGATTATAGAAACTCAAGGTGGTGCATCAATCCATTATCAAACTCAGAACCCAGAGGCTGCACAGACCGCCAAAACACAGTGCTGCCCAATAAATACAATAGTATTTAAATTCAAGTTTGCCCTTGAAGAGCAGCAGTTAAAAGTTGAGCAATCAAAAATAAAAGAGTACGATAAGATTTCAACATTTCTATATTAAAAGTTAAACAATGGTTGGAAAACATTGAATAGCACTGAATCAAATGCAAAGCTGTAAAAATAATGTTCACATATATTCACAAAATTCAGATTTGTTAAATCCCTGCAACTATGTATAAATGTGATAAACTGAATTCCAATATTATTTAGTCACGTGGTAGTTTCACAAAAATGGACAATGGACAATACATTATCGTCTCATATGGAATTCTGAGGGTAGTCCAAAATAAAACATTTTGACCTAAAAAAAAAGTTGCCAAAAACTTTAAAAAATCTATTAGATATCCCAAATTCAAGGTTCTTCTTGCATGCAGTTCAGGCTTTGTATCCTGTGGCATGTATTGTAATACAATTAAACTGGGACACAAAATAGTGTCCAAGACATTTAAAGCTAATGTGATGGATGCTAACTTGAAGAGAATGTAAGAATGTTTTACCCAAAAGCACAGCCTGAAAAGTTGCTTGGAAGGATAACGCTCACCCAGGGGCAGCAATTGGGAATCTTCAAAATCAGGAGACAATGTCTCCGAAGGCTAGAGACATTTGAGTTTGTCCTCATGAGTCTGAAGTCTGTGGCAGAGCTCCATGGCAACAAAAAAAATAAAGACTTGAATTTGCCAAACAGCACCTAATCAACTCCCAAGCTAAATTAAACTATTATGTGGCTGGAATTCAAAACACAAATTGAAAATCTAGAAACACCCTCACCAGGAGTATTATGAGAACAGAAAAGTGAAATTAATGTTGATAGAAAACATCCCTTTAAAGAAAAATATAAATGGCCCCATTCTTCTTCAGTGTAGGATTTCATCCTCTTCCCTTGGTCTCTTGGACAGCCTGAGGATGAGATGGTTTATAAAATTTACTTAGATATTTTATTAAAAAATGGGTGTCTTCAGCCACAAAGTTTGACCTTGGACACACATAGACTTTACAACAGCAAACAGATTTTACAAAAGTACAAAGCTTTCATCAAGCCCAATGACCAAATGGTTAAGAATGTGTGAAAAGCAGCATAGACTGGCTGTCATAGTCTCTATCTAGTCTCTCTATCATAGCAGAACATCTATGATATGAGCCGAAGAAAGCAGATCACAAGCAAAATGTGCATAACCTGAAAGAGATGGAGAGGTTCATGGAAGAGTGGTCAGATGTCCCTTGAGCAATTTAGTAACCCATTAAAAGGCTACAGAAAGTACCCCTCAAGGTTATCAAAACCAAAGGAAGGTTCACAAAATCCTCATTGCCATAGTATGATTAATTCTGACAACAAAGCTTTTAAAAACACATGTAATATATTTGACCAATGTATTGTTTATACACATACTATTAAAAGTAACACAAGCCCTTAGTTCAGATTTTTTTACATCAAAGAATATGGAAAATAATATTTTTATCTGAATAGTCATGCTGTATGAATCCAGGAATACATTTGGAGGCTATTGGAATTTTTTGAAAATGATGAAACCTTCATATGTAGCAAAGTAAATCATATTTACAAGCAGACTGTTGTTAAGTACTGAGGGTTAAGTAGCTTTTTCATGTCTGATGAAAAATGTACTATTCCTGTTCACAGATCCTATTAAATTCAATGCATATAAACCATACAGTGCTGTTGTTAATAAAAAGATTAGTAGAGCTGGAACCTAAAAGTCCCAATGCATTTAAGCATGATTTGCAATGCATTCATAGTTGTGCCTGGCACGGTTAAAAGGGGATTTATAGTCTTAAGTTACTTTACCTTTTAGGGATAATTCTTGTGAGAGTTATATAATGTTTCAGTGTGGGAGTAAGAACCTGAAATACAGACAGAAGTAGCTTCTGGTTGTTTTCTTTTTTGGATTGCTTTGTGTTTTCTTAGAAAAACAAAAAAAATACATACAGTAGCTGCTTAATGACAACAGTGTGAACACAATGCTTTGGTGATCAGGTAAGTCATTTCTGTAGATAAAAAGACAAAAAGCTTAAAAATTCAAAACTTTATTTTACAATCTTACATTGTTTTCCAGTGTTTTGTAAAACAATAAATATACATATGTTACAAAAATTCCAGTGTCTATCATAAAAATTAAAAATAGTTAAAAAACTAATGAATAAAAATCAAGAAAAAATATACATACACTGGGTCAAAATGTACACGAGAATTGCTGCAAGTGTGTAATATTTACTGGAGAGTTGCAGACTGAACTGAACATAAAGTGACAACTGAAGGTGTTAGACTACATTCAGATCTGTGGTTTTGAAACACGTTCTTTCATGCAGTTCAGGCATTGTCTTCTGTGGCATTTAATTCAATTAAACTGGGCCACAAAAAATGTATTTTCATGGAGGCTGGGTAAGAAACCTTGTTTTTCAGATAAAGCATTTCTTACAAATGTAGTTGTGGCTACACACAACTATTTAGGAGAAGAGAATGAAACATCCCATTGACTGTACATTTCAGATATCAATGTTGATAAATTTCCTTTTTAGTGGTAAAGACCCAACATCTTTTTTTTTTACAATATGAAGACTGCAGTTTTGTAAAACATACGGAACAGAATTACACAGAATGCTGTTATCATATTACCACAATGAGTGTGCTACTGTGAAAGATAAAAACAGCAAACTTTTGTATAAACCACAATCTTGTTGTGATAATGACAATTTGGTATGCATTTCCACTTACAAAAACTACTTTCTGGGGAGTTATGAATATTAAAGAAGAACAAGATGTGAATGTATTTAAGACAAAAATGAAACATTCACATGTGCCTGAACTTCTGATACTGTATTGCTCTTAAGCTTTTGGGATATAGCTGCCATATTTTGAAACCAAATAGCACCTCATTTAAATTTAAATGGATGATATCTGATGATAGATCAATTGAATCACTTCCAAAAAGCTGTACAATGTATTTAACAAGTCATCATAACAGGTAAGGCATTTTTGTATTCCTTAATGAGTGCTTTGCAAACAGCCTGAGGGTAATGAACAGCCACACTTCACAAAATGGCCTCAGACTCCACCTTGGCAACAAGGGCGTATTTTCTTCTATGGAGCACTGCACCAGCGAATTCAGAACATCTCCACTTTAAACACCTACAGCTATACAAAAACTTGACCAAAACTTTTTATTACATAGAATGGTCCATCTACACCCATCACTATTGCTTTTATCTAGTTGTCAGCTGTTTTTAAAGTACCTTAAGGCAACAGATGAATATTTGGCTTATATGTGAGTATTAAGTTCCAGACTTTGCAATTACATATACCACCATCCTTCAAAATAACTTCAGTGGAGCTACTCGTTTTCCATATCCCACATTTTCCATCACTGAGAAGGTGTGTAAATCCCTTAAAAATTTCACAATCTTCTGCCCACAGAATTCTGAAAAAAAAACAACAAATAAAAACAAAAACCCTCTCTGATTTCATTGTCTGATGAGGGTGCAAAACTCCAAATACTTCCTCATTAAAACAATTTAATGACTGTAAATCATACAGCACAGCAACTTCAAGTACAATTGTGCAACCAACAGTAGGAGATTCATTTAAGTACAGAAGCTCCTGTAGCAACACATATTAAAATGCGAAGTACAGTATAGACGCTAGCTTTTCTTTTTCTCCTAAGAAACGGATATGATAAAAAACAGGATAAAAAAACATATCTACAATTTCTTTTTACATAAAATGCATTCATTTAAGACTGTTTCTCTCTCCCAAAGCCAGAGACAACATGACACATTGGTGTGCTTTGCAGTTCACTGGGGCAAGGCTGCAGCGTGTCACAGAAACCCTCAGTCATCATTAGCAGACTTTACTGAGGTTCTTTCAGTAATGCTTCAGCGTTGTTAATGTTTCTGCTTCCCATCACAGATTTGTTTACCACAGTCAGCTCCTCGGATAAACAATAGCAAAGTAGTATCGCCAAGTGACAGCAGCATGGGGCAGCACATTGGCTACCGATGTCGTTTATTAAGTGATCGCTTCAATTGCCTCGATCCACCTTGTTGCATAGTGGCCTTTCACTTCCGCTTATTGTTTGGCACTGTTCACAAATACACCATGACAAAACCTCCTGCTGGTGCAGTCACATACATTCCCTTTTCTAGCAGGTAAAAGTCTGCAGTAATATTCTTCTCCATAGGAGCTGATGCAACAAAGTGTCTTGTTCACAGGAAGAGGCTTTACTTGAGCCGAGAATGGGGAGTCCCTCATGAGTGTAATACCCCCTTAGGGTTCCTGGTGAATCAGATTGAAGTTTCATTACTTCCTCTGGGCAGGAGAGAAAAGAGGAAAAGTAGACATGCAGGATTAGGGGGATGCAGTGGCAGGCAGGCAGGCAATGTCTGACTTGACTGAACAAATGCAATCGTTTAGTAAGATGTCATGCAATGTGTTTAGACACGTTCTGTTAAACTAGAGAGAATATCTTAGAACTCTGAATGGAGCACGCAATCTTTTCAGCGAGTACACAGAGTTTCCGCATTTTCCCCCTTTTTTTAAATTACTGCAGATTTTTTAACCTGAGATACTCATTTCTCCATTTACACTTCAGATGGCTTGCACAATGGGCCGAAGGAGAAGCTCTGTAATTTTATATGATGGGTTTCAGTTTATTTCTTGCCAAATGGCACAATGTGCATTCTATTCGAAACCCACTTTGCTTTTCATCAAAACAAACAGGGATGATGTAACTCTATATTGGTCTGAGAATCACTACAGGAAAATCACAGAACTGTTCTTTGAAACAAAAATTACAAATCTACAAAATGTTAGTTTTTTAAACGTTCATCACATTAACAGTCGTTGCTTTTTAATTAAACATCTGATTAAAGCTATGTGAGCTTTCAGCTGGACAAAAAAGGCTGACAGGTAATCAAGTTTACAAAAGGCAATGATTGCACGGTTAAAGACTCTGCTCTCAAAGGCTAATTTTCTAACAATTAAGTGTACTCATAGAAAAGTGTACTCTCAAAGTAGGAGAAATCATTATCACAGTAAAATTTAAAAGAACCAAGAACATGTCAAAGTATAACTGGAATATTGATACAGCTTAATCCTACACTATCAAAAAATGCATTCAGCCAAATAATTGTCAACCCTTTGCCTGTGAAGTGAGAAACATGCAGACAAATATGAAGGCCAGAAATAATCATGCACATGAATATATGTATTCTCTCACTCATGCAGGTAATGTATGGTCTTACTAAGCATGCAGATTTATCTGAATATATAAATTAGTACAATTATTGACACCTAACTAATACAACCTGTATTGCATTATTTCAGAGTTAGCAATATGTAAGTTGTGTGTTTTCATAGCAGCACAATATTTGATGTGAGGGCCAATGCTATCATGTACTCACTCCGAGTCCGACGTGTCTCGGTTTATTGTGCCTGCTCGGACATTCATGGCCACTCCATTCTGCTGCTCTCTCAACTGCTGCCTGGCTGGCTGCTTCACAAGGACATTACTGCCAGCGGCTGGACGGATGCCTTCACTCGACCCTATGGACGAGGTCCGCGATGAAATTGTCGGTGGATTGTAATCGGATAGCTTTTCTCGAAGACGGTTTTTCATGTTCTTGTCTGACAGAGGTGGTGGGTAAGTGATTTTGTTTTTCAGGATTCCTGCAGTTTCAAAGGAAAACAAGAAGAATAAATCAATGGCAATTCTGGCACAGTACTATTTAAAACATACAAAGCAGCAGGGTAACGATACGTAGTATGGCAATGAATGTGAACACCTTATAATTTTTTTATAATGCTATCTTAAAAACATTGTAGGAGAAATCTTATTTTAACTCTGGTCTGGTATCTGTCTATGTGAAAAGACTGGTAATAACTTTCTTAAAAGTCATCCAGAGAGTGATATCAAGAAAAAAAATAGATTTTGTATTTTATACATCTTAAACATTTTCTGCACTTATTGAATGCTGAATTTGAATTTGAATCGTAGGAATCTTTCATGAGGAGGCTTGGCTTGCCTTTTCTCTGCTCGGGTTGATGATTGGAGTTTGGCTGGCTTGCTGGTACACTTTCTTTCAGTGGTTCTTTCTCTTGTGGCACCTCCCCAGTGTGGTTCAGTTTGTTTTCCTGGTGTAGCTCCACATTCACTTTGGTCTCCACCCTGAGCTTTTCTGTGGCCCCTGGGTCCTCACTGTCACTGGCTGTTGCACACTCTGTGGGCCAGTAAGGTTTTACATGATTGGGAACAGCATCTACAAAATCACATAAGAAATGGCATGAGTGATCATTACTGTTAAAAGTACATTTTTACATTTTTTTAACCTGTGTAGTTTGTACACTGCAGAAAAATTAATAATAAATACCATTCTTAGATAATGAATGAATGAACAATATTCATCTATCTTGTTTAAAAGCAGATGACACAAAAATGTATACTGATCAGGCTTCTTCTTTCAAGGATGTCTATTTTTTTTAAATCAACAAATTGACAAATTATACAGTTAAGTGTTGCAAGATTTCAGCTCTCATAATAATATGAAGAATAACACAAAAACCTGAACAGGCTCACATACAACACATGCAGTTGGTATTGGTATTGCAAGAAGTGATGTATTACAGTATTTTGGTAAAAAAAAAATTACTTCAAAAAGCTATTTTCCCATTTAAAAATAATGAATCGGCAATAACTTATATAATTAATTCATATCTAAGATTAGTTGTCATGACAATGAACAATTATTAACCACACTAAACAGAAATAGGACATGCAGCACACAATGTGATTTGTGAGCAGTGACGATTTAACAATTGAAGGCAGAGTGACTCAACCACCCTTGAGCAGATTCTGACTTAACAATTAACTGTGTATTAATTGTTTTCTGAATTCCCAAAGAAATTAATTCAATATTATAGTGGAGGAAAAGAAACTGACCACACTATGTGATTTGTCTCATGATTTAAACATTTCTTTGAACCATTCAGAAGCACACAGGAGTGAAAAATTTTGTGGAAAAGGCAATTTAGAAGCTGCTGTGTTACTACTCTACTCCTTCTGCAGCCTCTCTTACCTTTAGGGGTGCTGTGCAGAGGCTGCCTCTCATTATTTTTCGGTGTGTTTGGATTCCACCTCGGCTTCACGTCCACCTCGTCATCTTCACTGTCTGAGGAGTGGGAGGACGCATAAGAGCTGCTGTGCTCATCCACCGAGAGCTCACTGTCTGAATCAGAATCTGAGGATTACAAAAACAAATCAAATCTCACCCTTGGCTACACAGACATTTTGAACAGTAGCAGTGGAGCTAATTGAGCTTCTGTGAAGCCCACAAGATAGGAGAGAGAAGAATGTACGGGTTAAGAGTCGGAATAAATTGATGAATGTAATGATTTTTATTTTATCTAAGAATAGTTCTACAAAATCCTTATTTCATCTCTGAGATTAAAAAAAAGAATTTTTAACTTTTAACAATTTTAGTGGAGGCTGGTATTTTTGTAGGAAACAGCTTTTATAGGATAATAAATTCCTGAAATTAACAAATAAAATTTACTGAACAGCTGTAGTCTGGAATTCCATGAAAATATAACCAACATCTATTCTAATTATAAGCAAAAGTGATGCACATAAAATACAAAAATATGTAAACAAATGAGGTCACTTGTTGGACTATGAAGAAGAAATGAAATCAGTGTAATGTCCATTTTCTCAATTTAGTAAATTCTGTGATAAAATGCTAATTAAGATTAATATTAATGTGTATTTAAAAATGTTTTTTTCTGTAGATTTAAGCTTTCAGGACATAAGGAATATTGATATATTCTTCATACAAGACTGACTATACCAATGTAATAATTTACATCTAAGCTCTGGTCCATCTCTGTGGAATCAGGAACATTCCACAACACCAGGAGGTTAAAACTTCTTTCCCTTCTCAAACAGATGTATTTTACAACTAATTTGAGTCTTCATCAGATCTGTTTACATTAAAGTAAAAGTTGTCAGAAATTCTACCTATCCTAGTGGTTCAACCATTTGAACACCACTGTAAACGAGTAAAAGAAAGAAAGTCATGATTTTTACATGAACACTACTTGCCATTAATTTGCTTTATAGTTTTCCACATTAACAAAGCAAGGGAACAGCACTTTTAAATTATTGTGGGTTTTAGCTGTCATCTGTGGGAATTCAAGAATTCACATGACCCAAACTATATCAGAGAGTGCACAGCTAGAATGCAACTATATCTAGAATGCATAAATGAATGTTTGAAAAAAAAGAGAATGATGTTCTGCTTGAATACTAGGAGAAATAAGCATGATACGACTAAATCCAGGAGCTGTGTAAAACAGAAATTCAGCCATACCTTCATGCTTGGTTTTACTGCGGTGGAATATAGATGAATCTCCTTCAGGGAGACCCACTCTTGCTGTACTAGAAGATACACTTGGCTTTTGCCCAGAGTCATCCCTAATACCAAAAAAGTTCAAGAACAGATATAAAAACTACAGAGAATATATCCTTTGATTATACAACATATATCATGAGAAGAAGACAGAACATTTTACTGCAGAAAAAAACCCTTTCAATTCAATATTGTTCACATTGTTCACAGTCTCTCTTGCCTGTCTAACAGCTGAGAAATCAGGATTAGGCAAAACTGGCAACAACATGCTCATGATGGTAAATATTACTTTTCCATCACTTCACAGCAGAATATTCCTCTTTGGGATACAGCAGAAACTTTGTGCTATCTGAATGGATATTTATATAGCAGACTTCTTTAGGTGAAGAAATTTGCTTCAGGCATTGAAAAGCATTCCATCAACTGGCCTGATAAAAATAGATTAGCTCAAACTGGAAGAGAGCCAGTTAGCCAGAGGTAAATATATATTCTGGCTAAACAAAGGGCTAGTGCTTCTGTATATATTGCTTTCTTCTGCTTCATGTAAAAATGTTAATTGTAACAGGTGTTTTCCAAAGAAAAAAAAACCCAAACCTTCACACAAAGACATTCTAGTTTGTTGTGGCATGAGATCTTAAGCCATAGTAAAATTAGCTTACATTTAATAAGACTCAAGCCTGTTTACTTATTCAATGTAAACAGCAAACTCTACATCACTAACTAAAGGGTTAATAATGTGAGAAGTCTATCAATTCATCACACAGTGGTGCAGAACCACTTTTCCTGGCAACTCTTTTAGAAGTACAATGCCAGTGGCTTACTTTAGAAAGTGAATGTTCAAAGGTGTCCAAAGCATCTAACAGGAAACATTGAAACATGAAATGTACAGGGCAAAGTAGACTGCAGAGATAGGTTTGCAACAGGAATGGTTCTGCAACCGGCCGTGCAGTTAGTTATGTTAGCAGTGAATTGGAAAATGAAAACGTCAGAGCGCCATGCACCCATCACCTGATTACCTGAGCATATAAGCAAGATAGCTACTGTGGCTCTTGGCTGACCTGACAGTGCTCTCGAGCGACACAGTGGACTCTCCAATGGGCGTCCGGTACAAGTTTGGCTCTTCCGTGTACGTGTTGTTACAGTTCAGAGATCGCTAAAAAGAACAAGCCATCAATATGAAACAGGCATACCTACGTTGAAACGCCAAAAGCAAAAACACTGTGTAATCTTTAGCTTTGCTGTTTAACATAAACACAGCACATGTACAGTATGTGAAGTACAATTAGCTTTCCAAATGAAAAAGTATCGGTAACTTACCGTTAATAGAGAGGCTCGTGTTGTACTAGATTCATCAGGTAATGATTTCTTTGAAGTGAAAACGTTCTTTAAATTTTTTCTCACTTCTTTATTAAATATGCAGTGGAAGAAGAAAATGAATATACCCTGGAAAGGAGATGAAGATTGTTAGTATAAGACTGTACCCTTTTTAAATGTATTCCTGTACAGATTAGTTGGGAGCTGAAGGTGACCTGAATCTCAGCAATGCTGTAAAGCTAACGGTGTCCACTGCAGGCTTAATGAAGCTAAGCTGGAAAGTTAAAGAAATGACAACGAAAGCTTATTTCGCTGACTGTCTGTCAGTTCTGAGAAATAAAATGTCTTCCTGCATTCCTTGATTTTATTTGCTAATGATGATTCCTTATTTTTTAACTTATAAAAACTGCTTTAACACTAATTCAAACTCTGTGAAATACGTCATAGAGTAAAAAATGAGGGGAACTCATCAATATTTTATTGAATCCATAGCTTTTAAGGCAGATCTTTATAGTTTAGTATTTCAGAGAAGGATTGTATTTACAGCACCTGGAGACAGCTGAAGACGGCAAACAGGTAATGGAAGGTCATGACATGACTGTTGACTGCCATCAGGCCTAGCAGCCAGGTGGCACTGATCAGCAGGAGGAGGACAAAAGCAGTGCGCAGAGCAGAGCTATAATAGAACAAACAAATCATTCCCACATTACATAAACCTTTTAAATCCAAAACGTTTCACACAAGACCAGAATTGTTTATAAATGTATCCTTAGGAGATGTGCTTCAAATGTGTGAAAAACAAGAATTCAAGAAAAGCTAAACAATTACATAAATGGCTTTGCCAGTTCTGAAATATAAAGTGCAGATTGCTGGATCAACTGAAACCATCCTCTACATTACACTGACTTTTCACGTACAGTTCTCAGAGGGTATATCAGCAGATCAGTAATAACCTCACGCCTAATGTTGATAATAATACAATTAAGTACATAAGAAAGGAATTAAGTGGGAAGGCCACATCTGTCCATTAATCATTAATCAAATTACAATCAAATTAAGAATTTTTTTAAAGTTTCCTACAGTTTCATTAACAAAAGTTTCCAGTTGTTTAATGTTATTACTGCTGCATTTGAAGTGTTCAAGGTATTACCTATAAACGTATGGGGGAGTGTATCTTTGTCTTTGACTCTAATCTTTATTCCTTCTGAGCTCTGAATGCTCTGCTGAGGTAATTATTTACTTTTCAAGTTTTTATGTTGTTTAAAGATACCTATACAACATTCCAGATTGCACAGCTTGAGGAACAGGACAGCACAGCCTTAAATGAAAAGCAACTATTAAAGACAGCAGTTTCCAAAGACAAACCATGACTAAGCTAACTCAATTGCCACATCACACATGCTGTAGCTAGCCTGTACTGTAATTTCCCAAGAAAATGTAATGATTTTACATTGCAAATTAATATTATGTACAATGTGAACCAAACTTGACTTCAACAGAGTAGTAAATTACTAAAACCACATTTGCCTTCAAGTGAGTGTCCTGTTGCTGCATGCTATTGTACTCACATGACTCCTGTCTTCTCAAATGTTCGGTGCTTTCTTCCACAAGAGGCCTTTGCAGCTAATATAAAGATCACAATGTTGACCTGTGAATGAAGACAAACACACAAACATGTTCAGATTTCACTCCTTTATACAAAAAAGAACATGTATTTATTTTCTTTAAATCTTCTTTGAAACAAAGGGATAAAAACATTAAATATCCAAGACACTCACAAGCACTACAATGGAAATGGGTCCTGCAAAACTCCATATTAGGGTATCGTGAACAGACAGCCAGCAGAAGTCAGGATTACCATAACCTTGTGGATCCAGGCCTACAGCAAGACCTGTTAAAACAAAGACGAATAGCAGTGCCTTGCTTATGAAAGAAAAAAAGTTTATGTTAAGAAATTTCATCATAATCTCAATCTCAAGTTTGGGTATGTGCCAGACACTTTATACCAACAACTAGTGCCACACTAGGTTATGAAAATCAACACACTGAATCGTCCTAGAAAAGATGACTTTTTGCTTTAGATATGTTTACAACATTTCATTTTGATTATACTGTATATCTCCCGATGATGTCACCTCCATTTAAAAAAACAGGATTTTGCCTGTGATTGTGTATTGCTTACCTGTGATGATGGCTGGTATCCCCCAGCCAATGGCATAGTAGAACCTCATGTGTCCATGGTTTATGTTTCTCACTTCAGTAAGCATGCGGTAGATGTGAAGTCCTTCCACAAACATCCACGCAAAAGTACACATATAGAAATAGTGCAGTAGGATGGCGATCACAGTGCAGACAAACTGGAACAAGCAGAGACAGTTTTTCAGGACACACATCTATACTTACTCACTACAGAAACAATTAGCACCACACCTATAAATGTGGAGACACACCATTATTTCACATAATTTGATACAGAAATAAAAAAAAATACAACAGGGAAAATCCCTATACTTAAGTCATATCTATAGAAAAACTGCAAGGTGACCATAAATCTTTGTATCTTTCAAAACTGAATATTAATTTGCCCACTAAAATTTCAATGAAGAAACTAGAGAAGGTGACTTCCCCAATTATAATCTGTGTTCTTTTGTAGAACTAGATTTTCGTTGTGGTTTCTTCCAAATATTATACATTTACCTTTAGGTGCCTTACGAGTCTTACTACATAGCAACACCAGTTTGTGCATGTTTTCAGATAAATCTGTAAAGCCCCATGGTGTACTTAAAAAAAGCAAATACAGAAAAAATGTCATATCATTAATCAACTGAACAATTGATAATGTACAGGGATTTAGAGCCACTCCCTAAAAGTCCATTATTGCCTGACTAAAACTAATAGAGACTAGGCCATGCGCCAGACACCCTTGAAATATTTGTGAGTTGTGATTCGGACACTTTTTTAATTCTGGGTAAGCAGAAAATGAATCGTTTAGACTGTCCTCGTAAAAAAAAGCAGACTAAAACTTCAAACAGCCTTGTCTGTCATACACAATAGGTAATTGTGGACTTAATTTTGTAATATTTTCTAACTCTGCATTCATGTGTATATAACAGATTCTGTTATACATTTCCCAGTGGTAACGTAGTATATTATTCCTAAATTGACACAAATAAACACAAATGTAATTTGTTGAAGCAACTGTTTCAATCTTTTGAAAAACCTTTGTGTATTGAAATGACATGTAAAACTGATGAAAAAAATGCACAAATAATCCTTTGTATTGCAATTGTATATCCTGATTCTTTTTAAATGCATTGTTCCCCAGGAACACAAAAAGCAAGCAATACATTAGAGGTTCCATTTTAAAAAACTCTGAAATTAAGATGAGCAGGTTGCTCCTAAAAATGTGCATACCATGTCTATTGGCCTTCTTTCAGCAACAATTATTTTCTAACTGTAATATAAAGAATCTTATTTAAACATAAAAAGTTAGTTAATGATTTTTTAGCAATACTTTAAGCTTCTCTTTTCTATTTCCTGTAGAGAAAACACAAGAAAAGTGCACTGACAGATACAATCTCAATGTTGATATATCTCCTTCATGTCAAGTAGGCATCTGTCATGATGACTATTTAAAGTGCTGAATGCTATCAAAGCTCTCATCTCTGAAGGTTATTCTTTGGAAATTCCTTCTTTGAAAACATAACCCTACTAAGGTCCTCTTTGGCCAGCCATAGGCAAATCAGAAATATTATTAAGTACAGTATTTTCATTAGACAGATACAGCATATCAGCCCTTCTCTTGAAATGCTTATTCACAAAAGAAAAAAAAAACTTTCTACACAAAGTAACTAAAGCTGCTTTTAAGCAAATAGCAATGCAGTGACATTAACATTGGAGAAATGGAAATAATTCCTGTGGATTATGACTTGTTCAATAAAAAAAATAAATCAAATAAAGCTGTACATGATTAAGGGTGTATGATGTACAGCCAATATGGTATTTTCCTTTTATTAGGAAATAAAAAAACCTTCTACTGAAGACAGTCTAAAGCAAGCAATTGTAATGCAATAAATAATCCATTTCTTAAACCTGGTTTCAAGGCGATTTAGCAGATAAGTCTAAGGATAGGTTTTCTAGTTTGCTCTGAACAACACTGTTGATTCTTAAGCAGATAAAATTTCTGAAGACGATTGGCAAAGTGTTCTTTACAGTTAAATATATAATTAAAACAAAGTGCATGCATCTGGATGAAAAAGGTGTAGTAAACTCTTAAGATCACAAGACTTTTTTGTTGCACAAAATGAAGTTTCATTGGCCAACCAATCGCTCTTATAATATGATCTTATCACCCTTAGTTTTCTACATTCCACTGCTTTTTGAACAGGTAACTTCCTGCACTTCTAAAACTATTGTATGATATGCACAAAGACACAAAGCTACTGCAAGTAAAGGTACACTGTGTTATTTATTTCTTAACTGTAAAGCACCTGGAGGAGAAGCAAATTCTGACTTTTGTTTTGGTCTTGATATGTTCATTTTATGCCAGAGACTTACCGGATTGTCAGTTTGATTGATCCCTATGAGGAAGACAAGCTCAGAGAAGAAAAGAGCCCCAACTAGGTTCTTATGGATGTTGTGAAGATTAGACCTCAGCTTCCTAATGATGACCAGTAGCAAGAATGTCACCAGTAAAGCCACAAGAGATATGGCTATAGTAGTGTAACTGACAATCTTCAATGGCAGTACTTCTCCATACTGTAAAAAAAAAACAACAAATATATGGGGAATATTTAAAAAGCAAAGATTAAACAATTTCTCAGAAACAGGAAACATCATTAATACTCTGATCTGTTATAATTATTTATGTTTTTTTTTAATTTTAATATCAGTTAACATGAAAAGGTGCCAAGAATGTATGGCAAATGCAGATTTAAGATTCTGTTCCAGACAGGCTACACTAGGTGCAGAGGAGAATTCCTTGAGTGACTGCACTGCAAAATAGGAAAGATCATTTAAAATGTGACTAAGCATGAAGTGAATTAACATGATAATATAAGATATTACAACAATAGGCATATAAATAAATAAGGTTGAATAAACAATGTGATTTCAGAATTACAAAGGTACTTTTATTATGGAAGTATATGGTACCTCTCGTTTCGAGATGTCCATGAGCACTGCAAAGCTGGTCATGTGGTTGCATTGGCAACTAATATGAGACTGGTTCCTAGAAACAAGCTCACAGCCCTTTGAGGACCAGCCCCCAGTCCCACCGATCCTGAAAAAATACAAAAGAGCAATGGTATCAGCCAGCCAGGGATAGGATCCACCTTGTCAAAGTGGCTGATTAATATTTTCAATGTGCACTACTTAAAAGAACAAGCCTGAGACCACAAGTAAGGTAAATTCCTACCACTGGCTGCATCATTTAATAATGTATTATTTAACTAACCTATTTGCTGTTTTTAAAATTAAAGCAATGGAAACAAAAAAAGATTAATCAACATTTGCTCAATATTTCCATCTTAACTGAAGCAGTTCTGATCAGATAATTAATTGGAGGTTTTTTGGCTTAAATACTGCATAGTGAATTATATCTGACTTATATAAATGTATGAGAAATTGTACATATATTAAATTAATTTTAAAAACCACTCCCAAAAAAATCACCATTCAGGAATTCTTAGTGGAGTCATTTGTTTCTTCAAGCTTACTGACAGAAATAAACCAGGGCAAATAAAAGTATTCTGAAGCAATCAACAACCCTAAATATTTTGTAGTCAATTTTAGTGAGTGAAACAAACTTTTTTTAAAATTCTGGACTAATGCACCTAAATATGAAAGACGTGTAAGAGAGTGATAGGTTCAGACAAGATCTTATTTGCACCACATTCCCCAGAAAGAAGTGGGGATTGATCTCCCTTCCCCTATCACCCTACATGTCGGTTGGCAAAAAGGGTTAGGTATCAGTTAAGATCAGGAAGTGGACAGTGCAGAGGTCAGTGCGTATCTGATATCAAGGAAAAGATAATCTGGTACAGTGCATAACTAACACCTAAAATGAGATGGATGACATGAATGTGATAGCAGAACAACCTACATAATAAGAAGTAAGTAACCCCCTTAAAGTTTACTTTTTTACCAGAATAATAACATGATCTCTATAGTGGAATGGTGTCCATTTTTGCAGAAATGAACTAATACTGAAAACCAGTTATTGTGCTTGTACTGACCTTAGAATGCTAGATTATGATCTTGATTAATATAACCCTATTCAGTCTTCAATGATAAAATCATTTTTTAATTTGTCAAGAATATTGCAGACTATGATGTTTCTCATATGAACAATACTATTAGCATTATTTACAATCTGATGCACTTCTTGCAATTTTGTTTTCAATAAAATTTAATTTAAAAATGACAACTGATATTTACAGAAAGCCTGAAGAAAAGCCATTCCACTAGTGAATCCACCATTTCAAATTGAAACCAATTTTTGAAAAAGTGTAATTATGTTATCTGCAAGCATACCTTAATCAAAATGTGTTACTTCTTTCTGGGATGTCCTTCCTAAGAATTTTCTAATTATATCCGATTCTCTAAATAGTGCTAAATAGCGCAATACCTTCAAACCACATTTAAGATAATGTAATTCATTCCAGAACACAGAACAGCTCATTGAGCCAGAGCTCCAGCATTCAGTAGTGTTAAGCAGACTAAAGAGCATGTTACTCCTTGTTTGGATGGACCACTGGTCCATCACTGGAATTGCCCCCAGCAATGCTGGTCCCTACTCATATCGCTGGATGGACTGGAGCAACTGGGGTAACATCCCCCGCACAAGGCTGCAACAGCAGTGTCTACACCAGGGTCATGAACCTGCAGTCAGATACACATCCACAATCTTACCCATTAAGCTAAGCTACCACCACATATGAACTATACGATGAAATAATTAATTAACGTTACGCCTATTCTCAAACATAAATTATACAGATTACAACATATTATAAAACAACCACCTTTAAATCGGAAAAAAAGAAGCACTGTATGAATCTCCACCCTCAGTCTGACACTGAAATTTAAGATGACAAATTCTTCAGTTGTTGAACCTTTCAGGCCTGGAGACGAGTCTGCAGAGGTGCAGCACTTTAACAAAAATGAAAGACTTACGCAATGGAATGGTTCCAGAAGACACACACAGGCTTGGTCCTCTCCTCCGTCTCCAGGAGGTTGTAGTCCATGGTGATTGGCATCTCCAGTGGAATGGAAAGAGCGCCCCCCTCACAGTGCACTGTGGTGCTGACTATCGGGGTGTTAATGACTGGCCGGTTGGGAAGCCTAATCCAACACAGACAAAGAGCACTTCTTTAAATTCTGCTTATCTGGCAAATTGTCAGGATGCTGTCTCCAAAGGTTTTGAACCGAAACAGTTGAAACATACAACTTAAGCTCTGAAAGCCTTCAAGAAGTACACCATGTCACAGGGTTTCAGTAAATTTACTTTATCTATATAAATGTATACATCTGCAGTCAAACTGTTATGACACATTAAATGTGCAAAACCATAACTCTTTCCCTGAATATTTGATCAAATTACCATACCAAAGGCTGTAGAATCTCTTTTAAAAATGAGTAAGAAGTGTTAAAAACGATATGAGAAGTCTAATTTTCTAATTAGAGTAAGCCACTCTAGGGGTAGCGCCGAGAACTACATTACCTCAGGCTCCTGCGGTCAGGGTCAAAGTGCTCAGGCAGAAGTTGTCCTAGAGATCTGTAGATGATCACCACAGCAACCGTGTGTGGGCTAGCACCTTCAGTATGACGTTTCTTTTTTAGGGGAACCGCATCGTCATTTTCATCAAAATCTCTCTGGCTAGACGGTTGACTTGTGGGCTTAACTAGAAGATATAAATAATAGAATGTTGACATTTATGCATTTAGATTAACATGACTGACTTTAGAATTGATTAGGTCAGAAGAAAATATATGTCAAGGTATACTGATGGTGTAAGTCAAGAACAGTGAGCTGTACGGCAGACTCCTCTTTAAATGGATATGGAGATGTTCTTTGCAAGGATGCTTGCTGTGATAAATTACATAAAAATAAATGTTCACCTTGGTTTTCTCGTTGCCTGAAAATGGCCTCTGGAAAATGAACGGTGGACTCCAGGTCTTTAGGATAGTCTTCACGGATCTCCGCAAAGTGAGGCAATACAACGCTGTCCGGGCTTGAGTTATCCAGGAAATCAACAGCAATAACTTTGAATGGAGAATTTACAGAAAGAATGTGTGAAATATACTTACTCACTATTTTATCTCTTTGTACACTAAAACCAAATGCAAGTGAATGTGTAAAAACAATATTAAATTACACAAAAAATATCCTTAGTCATATACAATACATTAAAACAATGACCTGAACTTACTCATGTTTGGAGTGACTATGGTGAAGGGTTTGAGATAGGTCTTCCTCATGTTCTGTGCCACTGTGCTGGCATACTCCTCATAATGTTTCAGGAGATGAGCGGTGCCACCCTCTGTACGTTGGATCTGCTCCCAGTGGACTTTGTTGCTAGGGTCCAGGATGGCACTGCCAGCTTTAATAATATTCTGCAACAATAAAAACACGCAAATCTCAGCAGAACATGGACAAAAGCTCTGCTTTGGTTTTCGTAGAGCACTGGACTAATTCTTCTTGACACCTGTGCTTTCTGGCACAGCCTTGAAATCAGTTCATGGACCGGTGCAGTCATGGTAAATGATCAGCAGCACAGGTCTCAGCAATGCTGGCAGAGCAAAAACCCATGCAGTGTCTGCCAGAGCCACTGGTACTCTGCCCGCAAACATCAGGTTCTGGAGCAGTTACTGAGGCACCTTTAATACAGGAAGAACAGAGGCCATTGGCACCTTGTGTGTAATACAGCATCAGAGTCAGTGCCAGGAAAACATGGAGGCAGTTTTAATCCAGGCCGTATCACTCAGAACAAGTATATTAGTCACTGCCTGCTGTATTACTTACAGATAATCCTTTAAGCTTTTCTTTCTGCTGGGGAAAAATATTTCAGCAGAAAAGGCCTTCATACACACCGCAGTGAGTGACCCATACAAAAATTAGTATTGCTTAACTTGTATAAATTCTGTATAACTGTTGACTAAGAACTTGAGTACATAGTATAGATCACTGTAATTATACAATACTTCTCAATAGAATAGATGGGATCCATAAAATAATTACTTGAGGTTCCATGTTTTCATCATTCTGCTTAATTTGTCAACCTAGATCATACTGACTTATAACAAACGGTAAGACAGCAACTAATGAAAGATGTAAAGAGAAAAAAAAGCTATAAATCCCTCTCTGAAATCACGGGGGTTTAGGAAGTTTATCTCACTCCAAAAATTGTTACAGTGAACTTGTTAGGCATGTGTTTTCATGAACAGCTCACCTAATTATGTGAGATGATTAAATCTTACTTTATTTACTTACATGTCAAAGGTAGTGTGGAACAAGATGCTGGGAAAATGTAATATATTGCAATAAGAAATATTATTCAATGTTTTAAGAGCTGAAGCCATATTTAAAAATACTGAAATGATTAAGAACTCAGCAGAAGCAAAAAACAGAAGACACAGTGGTACCCCCAGGACTAGAGATGGGATCCACAGATTGAGATCGCACACTTTGCCCAAACAAAACTTTTTTCAAACAACTGCTGTTTGCTTCTGTTTTTTTTTACTACTAGAAATAGAAAAGTGTGCGCATGTTAATGCATGTGTGATATTGGGGAGCTTTTAGCTTATTTTGTTAGATATAGAAATACTGATGTTTCTTCCTCGCAAAGGTGCTACACAGAATGAGAGTAGGAGCTGTCGTTCTCTGCAAAGGTGAAAGATGTTGGAGTGTCCCAGAGTGATGAGTTTCAGATACTTATATAAGCTGTATTTGATTACGTGTGTGAGTAGGTTACTAGAGATATGGAAAATATAATCCTTAAAACAGGTCATACCTTAATCCATTTTAAGAAAATAATCAGAAGGACAAAAATTACATAAGAATATGTGAGCCTGAACCAACAAAATTAAAAATAGTCATGATTCTGAATATGCAGAGGAAAATCTTTGTGTAAACATAAAATGTAAGATTTCCTCTATAAAGACTGAAATAAAGTTCAGTTAATGCTGCATAGAACAGTGTTTCTCAATCGTAGGCATGGAGAACCCTTGTGCCTGCTATTTGCACCTGTTCAGCTGTGAATCTCCAGTACTGGTTCATGAATTTTATTCAATCTACACGCGTTAAGCTACATGCTTGTCGAGACTTTTTGTTTACTTTTTTTTGTGCTCAGTCTTGAATCTAGGAATTCAACCGTAACTTAACGTGTCGCTCCTCAACGCACGCACCCTTATTTCTATGTAGCTTAAATAGATTGTCACTTTATGATAAACAGATGGAAATGTAAATATATCGACAATCATAACATTTTCCTTCCATAGAGATCCTGTTGGTTACATATCAGGTAAGATATGTCTGAGGGGAGATTGGAAACTCAGGAATCGATACAGAGTTGATACCAATTACAAATCACATTCTATATGTTGATCAAAATCCACATTTAAAAATATGCCTGCAAATAGAAAATTGAAATCAACTAGTCTGTGACTTGTGACTGGGAACTCGGCTGACCCCAGCATCAGGGGTGGGAAGCAATAATCGTGTTAACGATTTTGAAGAGATAATTATATCAGTATCAAGCGTGAGACAAACCAGCAGATGTCACCATTATTCCTGTGAGTCTAGGTACAAACCACCCCACGACAGGCAAGAATGTAACACATGGGGTAACTGCCACAAAGACTTGAGTGAATGTGAAGAAACAATGGAGATGCCTACCTCATTGAATTCAGCGTCTCTTGTTGCTGCCAGATCAAAGCCATGCTGTTTGCTTTCATACTGCAGGACTTGCACGATTAACTGGTAAGCAGTCTTCACATCATTTCCATAAAAACTACTTGTACTATTGGTGGCATTCTGCAGCATCCTTGCAATATTCTTTGACTTTTCACCATCCATTTTTGTGCCATTGTGATGCAACTCCTCATTCTGTTAAAATGAAAATTCAAAAACAGTCTAGAAAAAACGTATGCTTTTATTTAAACAGGTTCAGAGCTATAATCAGGCGTCTGCACATATGTACCAAAGTTTACTAAGTTTGTTCTTGTTTATTGTGCAAAGTACAAATCTAGTTTAACCTAGAGCAGCACAAAAGGTGGAAACAGAATGGAAGGATATGATCTTTGAGAGCAATTATAATAATTCTGTCCCTTAACAGGCACTTTTAAGGCACCTTTGTAGTTGAAAGTTAGCATTTACCATAGCATGAGACCAGAAGCAAAAGTAATGTGCAGCAGGGCAATGAAAAAACACAATCTGACAAATATCTTCAACTGTAGAAAACACTTACCAAGGTTTTTAGCTTTGAGAATGTGATGGTAGTACAATTGAAGAGTTCTGGGGGAAGCCAGCCTTTTTCCTCATTGCAATGGCGGATTGCAGTGCCTAAGGTTTGGAAAAAGATGAGAAGGGTTATAAAGAACCCATTGATCTTTATTAAAACTTGCTATGAAGGGTAAAAACGGGGCCTGGGTGCCCTAAAGTAGTCCTGGTTAGGGTTCTGGACTACTTTAGGGATTTATTCCAGCTGAGTTCTAAATCTCCAGTGATAACAGATCAATTTAATTAATCTGTCTCTTGTTTATATGGTTACCTTGTTCCTATACTCATTCATGAATATATATGACTTTACCCATATTGGGTCCAACAACTTATTTATTCAGACTTTGTAGAAACCTCTCCTCAACTTCCTTAACCATTAAAGCTCTTATGATGTGATCAATGTATGATGAACAGACAAAAATGGGAATTAAAATCTATCATACATTCCCACAATGATCTTTTTCTGAAAGGCAGTTCCAAAACTGCCTGAGAAATTGGTACAGGGTTGATAACAATTATGAATCCTATTCAAACTTCAAAGAGCTAAAAGCACATTTATAAAAAATAAAATAGAAATCAATTTGCCTTTGATTAAGAAATTAAGCTGGTACTTGAGCAGTTCTCAGTAAAACCCTCTGACCAGAGAGGGGAACCAATGTACTAAAGTGATGATCACTGCCAAGTGAAGACATGCAGCTGCTTGAAAGTGAACTAACATTATGCAGGAACAGCGCGGAATAATCAAGTACAGAATGTGGGCTTCGTGGTACATTTGCAGGAGAAAACCAAATATTGCAGCCTGTAAAAGAAAATAGGTCCACAAACTCATGTCTGTAGTACCTTGCTTTGTATTTATGCCAGCATTAGACAATCTGAAACAAGATACTGATGCCCTGCCCATCTCTCAAAATGTGTATTCATACACAAAGAGCTATTTGGTTACATTGTGTACTGGTTTATAACATAGTCGCAGGTTTTTCTAGAGGTCGTGCCAGGTCTGCCCTACAATGCTGGGATCTGTCTGTATCATACTTCAGTAACCATTTTCATTAGCATGCAACTGCAATGAGAATGGCTTTTAAAACAAAGCATTAATAATTGAACTTGAAGCCATGTTGGCAGACGGCCTCAACAGAAAACAATTTAGTTTCTGTCTATTACAAATTGACTTCAAATACGTTCTTCTTTCTCCGTAGCCGAAACATATGTCAACAACACATTTGGATTCTAAAAGCACTCTTTGTCAGGGGCAAACTAATGACATTCAAGTATTAAATTGATTACTGGGAGCAAATGTTGCTGGTGCCAGTTACATGGGTTTGATTGTTGGTATATGAAAGAGACAAATATAGGTGGGTAGCTGCGTCAGCATGCGTAGTCTGCAAAGGAACAAGCAATAGGTTTATTCCATGCTGAAAAGAAAAGAGAGAAAACACAACGTTTCGACTGTGAAGCCTTCTTCAGGTCACGCCTGAAGGTCACACCTTAAGAAGGCTTCACAGCTGAAACGGTGTGTTTTCTCTCTTTGTTTTTTTTCAGCATGGAAGACACAAATATATGTAAATATCTCATAATGATATGAAGAAGAAAGTCAGAAAATTCATGTTAGGAGAGAAAAGAACCATAAAGAGCAAAGATGTTTTCTTCATATCTGTAAAGAAAAACTGAAGAGATACATTGGCTTTCTGCATACTTTGAAATAGTATGTTCACATTAAGATAATGCATGTTGTTTATAATTTCTGAGGTTCAGGGTTTCCTGCAGTTTTACACAGGCCAGGCAGGCCACCTGGCCAAACAAATGCATGAAAACTAACAATGTATACAACAATCCATACTGAAATACTGTTTCATAGTAATACACTGCAAGATTATGCATTGAGCCCAAATCACAATGCCTCATACCTTTGTCTGAAAATCTTGCGACATAAACATATTCATACATATTCATATACATAAACTAGGCAGATATATATATAATATGTATTATAATTAATTTCTGTACATTTCTAAAAATGTATTACTACATTTTATCCACTTACAAGACTATAAGAAATGAATTTTGCACCTTCAGTTATGTTACTCGGCTCCTTGATAGTACACCACTGTTTGGTGCCACAGAGTGGAGATATTGGGAGTAAGTGACTTCCAGATTTCTAAATCCAGATTGGGAGCACCTTTAAGCAATATTAACCCTTAGCTGTATCAGGCTGTATAATTTGAAATGAAATGAAAGAAATGAACGTTTCTGTCTTATAACTGGTTTATATGTAAGAAATAAAGTTAATAAAACGTGTATTTGTATTTTAATTATCAGGATACCTTTGATAATATTTTTACAATTTAAAAGTTCATAAAATTAAGAGAACAATGGGTAGAAACTGAGCTGTTAACTCTAGAAGGGCTGGGAGAGACAAAGGATGAAAAAGAATCTTCTACTCTGGTTAAACATGATGAAGAATAAATATTTAACACAGAAAATAATGTAAAAGGTTACAGGAGAGAGACGGGGAATTAATAGAAGGAAGAAGCACCAGGTGAGCAGACCTCGTTCTGGTCTTGGATTCCAGTACTAAAGAACTACTGAACTTTGTGAAAATAAACTCAGTTTTCTAAACATTATTTTGCACTGTGCATTCTTTTAAGTTTTAGCTAGTATACCTAGCTAATTGAGGGTGTAGCTTCTCAAAGCTAAAATTGATAAAAATATATATTTGTGTTCAACTCTCATGCAAGAGAAACTTGTTGGATTTGCCAGTAAACTTTGCAGGCAACAGCTGGAAAACTAGAATATAAAATAACCAGTGAATCTGCAAAACTAAAGGCAAGAAAAATCATGTTTAAAGAATGTTTTTTATTTTGCATTTTTTCATTGAAGAATTTTCTTTCTGCATGGGATTTATTGCTAACGGCAGTTAAAGAAAGATAAGATAGTTTGATGAATGATTTCAGATGTCTAAAAAAATTATAATTAACATTCATTTTTGATAATGACCTAAGACTTTGATTAATCCTATATTACCAAACTAACTTTTGCACTCAAATGTCTTTTTCAGGAAAATATTGTTAAATTACAAAAATAAGATAGCTAGTGAGATTGCAAGCTAGTACAGTATCTACAGTAGGTGTTGGATAGCTTGGGGGAGAGAGGGGGGTGAGGAGGGAAGGAGAAAGCTAATGTTAATGTCTCACTTATGTCATCTGTGGGAGGTTACCACCTGGCCCAAGCTTTTTCATGCGGGAAACCCTGAGGTTCTTTTTAAAGATACTCATTTGCATAGTATGCATACTTTTAAAACAGCTTCAGGGTTTATATTCTATACATCAAATGAAACTTGACATGGAAATCATGTATATTGTGTGGAATGTTGTATTTTGAAAGTTGATAAATAGTTTTTGGTGTCTTTTTGATTAATTGGTCATTCAGAACTGATTTGATGCATTTAAGCAACTTTTTGGGGGCACTACTTTTTTGGTTGGCTGTGGAGAAGTAATGTGATTTCGCTTGTTGAATGTCAAGCCTAGAGAAAAACACAAAAAAGAACCAATATGTTCTGCTTTTCAAGAGAACAATCTCAGTGTTGGAGGGTGAACTAAGTTAGCACACAGTTGGGATGTCATAGCCAGTTTTCTAACCTAGCAAGGTGTTACTGGCAAACAATCTGGGCCGCAATCTTTGAGACCATGTGTCAAAACACCTCACGAAGATTGATCTGGAGATGAGAACATAATTATTTGGCAGGAAGTATCTAGTTGTAGAACTCCACCTTCAGTGACTGATGGCACACTGATCAAGTACTGGGACTTCACTAGGTCTCCTTTCTCATCCTGGGCTCATCCTCATGTGACAAAGTTCCAATATTCCATTGCTTTTGTGAGAGATGAGAATGTGACAGTTATATTATCGATGTCCCACTTGCCAGTGAACATTTGAACCTTTGGTAAATGAGCTCGGATGATGTGTGGAATCTGGGGCTCAAGTACCAGAGAACAGGAACATGATAGTCAGGCTCTAAGAAAGGTATGGCACGAAATTCCACAAGATGGGATCTGCAACTTGGTGCAAAGTAGGATTTAAGATTTTACTGTTTTCCTGATGATAATGTTATGAATCTGTTACAGTTATAAGCTTCTTTTAGGCTCTGCACACCATGTACATACGATGAGACATCGCTGGAAAACGCAATACAACTGCAGTCCATTTCCATATGAGTTATTCTATATTTTATTTTAAAATTATCCAAAGGAAGTATTTATTATGAAATGAAATTGACCCAATATGTCAGTGCCTTAGATTAAAATTTTATATTGAGAAAAATGTACTTTAAACATAATACAATTTGTACCAATTGAATCATGTTACAAGATTCAGGGTTGTGTGACTATAAAGTATACAATACTTACATCTGTACATCTGTTACTTAGTAAAATGTTAGCAGCTGAAAAATTAGTTTGTGCTCACCAATAGATCCTTTGGGACAGTTCATCGCAGCTGGCCTTCCAAACTTTGTTTTAGGCCACCAGATACCTGCTTCAAATGACTTGGGACAACCTTCATAAATCACTGTAATAGAAAAACGGTGGTCACATTCATTGTAGTACACAGTCTTTAGTCTCGCATTTTAAATGTTTCTGGCAAGCTAAGGAATGCTGAATTCTTTACTGCATGTTCCTAAACAGCAGGCCAACAAACACTACATCTGGTCATTCAATTTTGCTAAATAAAACAAGTAAAAGAAAAACAAGATAATAGTCAAAGGACACAGGACAAAATATTAGAATTACTTCTCTTAAGCTATTACAAATAATTTTCCATATAACATTAAAGCATTTATTTTCTAATAAATGAAACCCAAATATTTTATGTGGGAAGCTTTCAATAAATGAAGTTGGTTTCCCTGTTGTCTCTGCTATGCTGTTTATCAATGAGTCTCAAATATCCAAGATTTATCTGAGATCCTGAGATCTATGTACTTTTGTAATGCAGAACTTCTTGCCTGGTCACAAGGTTAACTACATACAACAATATGTCAGAAAAACATAATAGCTGTTAACCCTATTTAAATAGCCCAAGAGTTTTTTGAAGCCCTAAGAAACTTGAAATATAACACCAGTTGTTCACCAAAGAAAAACAGTGTGTTCAGGGAAACACAAAAAGCTTCTGTTCCCCCTACTGCTCTCTTGTCTTTAAACTGTATCAGGACCATTGTCTGAACAAGACCACTTAGAATTGACATACCTTGGCATCCCTCAGATGTGACCTCAGCAAAGGGGTTGTCACAGCGATTGCACTGCCGGCCAATAACTCCAGACTTGCATGTGCACAGGCCTGTCTGGGTGTGACAGGTCCGTGTTTTAGATCCCAGGGAGAAACAGTCGCAAGGATAGCAGGTGTCACTGCCCTCTGGTCTGTAGTAATTATCCTGCAGATATCAACCAAGTTCAAACACGTCAAAAGCACAGCAGATCTTTCATTTATATTAAAACTAACCTGAAGAAAAAAAAGTCTGAAGTGTGTGTTGGTTTGCAAAATACTTCTATGCAGAAGCAAAGCATTTGTGACAATTTGGATGTTTTTTATATTTCTAAGCTTTAAAGTCCTAAGGACTTCCAAACATGCTTTTCTGATAATAATCTCCTATCACAGATTTTTTGTAACTGGACGTTTTTTTTAAAGGATGGGAAGCAGTCGGCCAGTTTCACTTATGTAATAGTCTTTCCTGTCTTTGATACGCGGTTTAAATTTAATTTAAATCCATATATATATAGGATTCTTCCATTGACTTAAATTGGTCTTATTTTATTAGAGAATGCCTCGCTGACAAATAACATTCCTAAAACTGCATATTTGCCACTTTCTGTGAAAAAAAAATAGTGAACATACACATTTTTGTGCCTTTTTTGGACATGAGTCCAAATACCACATTGAAGTTACAGCAAAAGACTGTGATAATTATATCACATAACTTCTGAAAGCCTGATGGTGCACCCCTGGGCACACATACCAAACACTGCAAGCATCAGCAGCAGTGTCAAAATAAGGCTAATCCTTACCTTGCACCTGCACTCTCCAGTAGTTTTGTTACAGTCGGGATCAAATCCCTTATTAATGTCACAATTGCAAGGCCCACAGTTGGAGTTTCCCCACCAGCCTCGGGGACAAGGTTGATCAATCCTGAGAAAAGAAAAATATTTTTGTCATTCTGTACAGAACTGAAAGATAGAATATTACATTGGCTCAGATTCACATTGCCTCTTTTTAGTTACAATTACACAAATTCTAATCAAAAATGTCAGAAAGTCTGACAAGTCACCACTGTAAACAGAAAGATACAGCAAATAGTCATAGTTATAAGTTATGCAATGGAACTTGCATTTGCCTCAGATAAACAGATAATACACAAATCTTCTTCTTTTGACAGAAACATACATTCAAATATATACTGAATCTGGATATAAATGCCTACACCCAATGCTATACAGTACTGAAACGTGGAATATTAAATTGGCCTAAAACAAAATGGTAGAACTATCCAATAAAACCAACCATTTCCTCAGCTTGGCCAAAATAATAAAATTCCATTTCAAATTAAATCCAGCCCTGGAATCTTTCATGCAATAAAAGCTACCATAGCAAACGGGAACACATCTGCAGCAAATTATCAAGATGCAAGGCATTTGAGTTAATTAATGACAGACTCATTATAGTGGCACCATAAACCATTTACCTGTGGAAGATGAACAATTTATGGAATAATACATTAACAAATGTTTTTGTACTGTGTATATTTTGTAAGTTTTGTATTAATACCGAATGCCTTGCAAAATAATAATTTCAGAAAGAATGACAGAGAAAAGGAGAGTGTTGAACAGACTTTAGAATAAGGGGAATCATACTTGTTTTCACAGTACTGTCCCTTGTAACTGTCCCCACACTCGCAGATATATCCATGGGAGGAACTCGGCTTGTGGACACAGGTAGAGACATGCTCACATGGGTTAAGCTGACATGCATCCACACAATGTTTGCCAAAGTAGCCTTGACATAGGTGGAAGAGAAAGAGAAATCGATTACTGTATGTCAATAATGTTTCCTGACAAAATAGCTAAACGCATCTTTTGTTACTGTATTGAATTTTTATATAAAAAATCTTGTAAAAACAAATATTCTGAGTTTGATGGATTGAAGGCAAAACTATCTTAAAATTATATAGATTTTTTAGCATTCTGGTAAAAAAATATGCAATACTGTTGTCTGTGGGGCAGATTTTGTTAAGAATACCTGGATCACAAATACAGGAATAGGCATTCCATTCATCGCTGCAGGTGCTGTGTTCAGGGCAGATGTTGGAGTCGCATGGATCTTCAATATCGCAGCCATCTTCCACACGAATCTTTAGGCCCTGGTTCATGTTCACATTGGCTATACTGGTAGAGGTTTCTCCCATTCTCACACCCTGTAAGGCATTTCAGAACGGGCCCATTAAAGAGGAAAGCCTCTCTTGGATAAATATGAACTGCAACAGTAATGAACATTAGGTGAAGAACCAGCATAGCACTCACCTGCATACAGCCAAGAAATCCTTGCTCAACTGACCCGTCTTTCCCCAAAAGTCCCCCTACAAACAGGCTTTTCACTTTCAGTCCCGGTACCTCATTCCCAATTTCCACACTTTTCTGTTGGAAAGAAGCATAATCAAATGTGAATTAAATGTGAAATTCCATCTTTTACTTTCACCTCACCACGCAAACAACAGGATTTTCAAAAGCAGTTCTCTGTTCCACTTGTGAACCACATTCAGGCTTAGTAAATGATAACATTCAGAGAAACTGTATAATTTACTAAAAGAATGATAAACCTGTCTTGTTTCTGCTTGGTGTCAAGTTTTTTCCAAAATTACACAATTTGTTTTACACAGCGATACGCTGCAGACCACACAGAAGGCAATATTTATTAAACCAGCAGACAAGCTGGAATTAATAAAGTGTAACACTTTCTACAGACAACCTTACACATCCTTCTTCTTATAATATACACATTTACAAATGTAAAGACTTTCAGATCTCATAAATCTCTCCATAGACATAGACCCTGACCATCCCTGGAAATCCACATAAATCATAGGTATTTATAAATCCATTCAAACTGAAAATAAAATACAGACATGTGAAAAATACCAGTAATAGGAATACTACAAATGCAAATGAAAAGGGATATACCATTTTGATCAACTATGACATTAATGCTAAGGGGAAAAAGAAAGTAAAAGTGTTCACCATTTTTGTAATATTTTAAATAGCATGTAAAACTAAAACTAAAAGTTATTCAACACCTTAAAGAGAAAATCTTTCCAAACTGAAACCTATAAACACAATGAAAGCCATAACAAATACATTAGATTTCATTAGCAATAAAATCTCTCTACAACTTTGTAAAATAAAGACTAATTATGTTTGCACTCATAAAAAAAGTTTGACTTTTCTCAACTTTATTCCTATCTGGCTTGGCTGATTAATTTTAAAATATTTTAATATTTTTGAAGAAGTTAAGGTTTATTTTAGTTATTAAAGAGAGATAACCCTTTTTATAAATGAACAAAATACATTAGTTGTGACAAAAAGTAATGGTGTAATTAGCCACAGTGTCTTTTTGGACATAAGGCTAAGGATATCTAAAGATATTAGATATGCATATTACTATTTGTGTGTAACTCCTTTTGACAAAAGCACTGATCGCCACTTCAGTTTTATTGGCCTTAATGTTATTAAATCCCCATGCCGTATTGTTTTTTTATCCATCATCAGACAAAGGAACCAACAATTGCTTAGGTTTGCATTCAGTCCTCTTGTTTGCCTGAAAACATCTAACTGATTCTGTCTCTTCAAGAAGGTCAGCCTTCCCTGATATCTCCACTTTTTAATTTTATATGCACTGAGAATCCTTACATGCCTGTTACATGCTTTTTTATCCAGCTCAACTAAGGGAGTATCAATAAAGGAAAAAAAAATTCTGTAATTTTGGAACCTGTATGTTTACCTGAAACATTCCGTAGTCAAGAGAAACTACTGCCATGTATTTGGTATCTTTGCCATCTTTAGTGCTTTTTATCTCAATCAGCAAATGGTGCCACTCTCCATCATTCACTCTGGCCTCTGTGAACTTCAAAATGGCCACCAGACTGACCCCGTAGTACACTTCAAACTGCACGTGCTTGTTACTTACCTGCAAAGAAAACATTTCAGTTACAAATAATTTTTCCATTCATCACACCAGCTTCGTAACACACAACAAAACAAACCATGTACATACGTTTGAAGAAACATACTAAATATTATAATAATAATAATAATAATAATAATAATAATAATAATAATAATAATAATAATTGCTTACACTTCTATAGCGCTTTTCTGGACACTCCACTCAAAGCGCTTTACAGGTAATGGGGACTCCCCTCCTCCACCACCAATGTGTTGCATCCACCTGGATGATTCGACGGCAGCCATTGTGCGCCAGAATGCTCACCACACATCGGGGATGTGTGGGGAGGAGAGCAGAGCAATGAAGCCAATTCATAGATGGGGATTATTAGGAGGCCATGATTGGTGAGGGCCAATGGGAAATTTGCAGCAACCTTAGTTTTTCCCAGGAGGTATCCCATCCAGGTACTGACCAGGCTCACTCCTGCTTAGCTTCAGTGGGTTGTCAGTTGTGAGTTGCAGAGTGATATGGCTACTGGCTACAAATATGAAAAGACCACCCACAAGCAGGGCCCTGAATTTTTTATACCCATGTCACCGTTGAAGGATGGTATGTTATTTAAATTTCTATCTACCTCTAGATTGTTACTATGTATATTTGATGTACATAGCTCTGAAAACGCGTAAAGAATGTTATCCCAGATAAACAGATCATTTGTTCTAGGAATATGTCACTCACTAGTATGTTGATCTTGGAAGACAGTCCAGCATTTGTCTGCATTAACATCCCACTGCTCTGCCGGGTTCTGAACATCAATCCTATGTACCAGGGAATTGCAATGGTGATGTCTGGCTCACTCCACGATACCATACTGTGGCCTTCAAAGTACTGAGGAGAAGGCATTGCTGGAAACAACATGGAATGTGGGCATGTCAGTTCATAGTGCATTGGGCATTCCTTTCCAGCAGTTATGTAATTTTGAACTATACAAAATGTTTTATTTTAAACACAGTTGTTTCTATCGAAGTGATTTTACAAGAAGGCTAAGTGTAAACACTATACATTTTAGTATCATTAACAGTATCATACATTTTGGTATCATTTGCTAGACCTCTATCTTACCACATTGGCATCTTTGAAATTGTATTAAGGTGAGTAGTCTCACACTGTCAAAACAAACAGGATGCAATAAAAATATGACAATTGTAAAGTTCAATTAGTGAAGCCTTTTCTGATAGACTTAGTCTGTCTCTTATCTAAAATACATGGAAACAAGGTTCCATCATCAATCCTTTAAGGTATCTAGCATAGCACATACAAATGGCTTTAACAAACATCATAGCATAAATAACACAGTACATAATAAAATAAATAATAGAACTCACAATTGTTGATGTTAATGGCCAACTGTAGAAAGATGTTTTTACTTTTTCTGAATGGGTAGGATGAAACCTAATTGTTTTATATGGCTGCCTGCAGCCATAAAATGTAAAACATTTGGACCATAATACATCTTTCAATTGATCGAATACAATAATTTAAATAAACAGTAATTCATATTTTGACATTAACGAAGGAGGTAGCAGTTGGGACAAAAAAATGCTACTTTTTAATATTAATATATTTAAAAGTCCCTAAACAAGGAGATTTACCTTCCTAATTAAGGCAGTATACAGTAGGTACAATGATTAATCAACATTTTCTAAACTGTTTTAATAGTGGTAATTATGTGAAACCTTTGTATATGGTAAAATGCAACACATGTATTTAGTGAACCACCTACAAAATAATTCTAGGACCAAAAGTATCAATGCACTGGATTCTGGATGTCAGAATCTTGCTTTCATGAAAGAGTCCTAGAAACTTCTGTATTCTCCTGTCTAAGTTTGCTCCCAATTAAATTTTACAAGGGTCAGAAGACACTGCACATTAATGGTAATGTGCTAATAGAAGTAGATCTAGTTATTTTCAGTGACAGCAGTGATGAAATCAGAAATCATGCACTCTGCATTTGAGAAAAATTATAATTGAGGTGTGATCTAATACAAGCATATACAGACAGGAAAATAAGAGAGACGTGCATATATGTTCTTTAATTTATCACTTTAGAAAGGAAACATTCCATTCACAACAGTCATCTATGAGACTGGAAAAAGATACTCTCGTATTTCTTTTAAAAGTCAAACAATTGTCTTTAAGAACAACCAGGACAAGTAAGATTTCTATAACATAGCATTTGATATGTTTTTTGTATCAGATCTTGTTTGATATTTCATCCGTACTTTAATGAGTGCTACAGTAAGTAGGGTTTCATATTGGATTAATTTAAACTTCAGTGAAGACATTGATTTTCTTTATTCTTATTACCTCTCCATAGTAGATTCCTGTAAATATATTTTAACATATACTAAACCAACATGAACTGAAAGGGCAATAAAAGCATTTAACCATTACAGTAACCCTTTCTGAGCTTTAGTTTTAGTTTACACCCCTGATTACAAAAAAAAGGCAATAACTTCAAAAACCTTTCATTAAAAATGTTAATCAAATGTATTCATTTTTCAGTCAACAAATAAATGATGTGAGAGATCTGAAGGTAAGGGATTGCAAAACAAAGTTATTAAACCAGAACCACAAACTGACAACCTGTAAAATTTCAGTCCTGCTTCTTACCTCAGCCCCTTCTGAGGCAGAGTGCATAATAAAACCCACCTTCCCTAACCCTTATTCATAAAACACCGATATGGACTGAACATTTAAACCCATTTCATTCTCGTGCCCTTCAATGGACTATTTCGAATTTCTAATTCTGTAGATATGTCTTTCCTTTTATTGAAGGAAGGTTTAGGAGATACTTTGAAAATACATTGGCATCCCATGTGAAAATAAAGTCCTGTGAAAGTAAAGTCCTGATTAAGACAGGATTAAGACAACCTGGATTATATATTTTTTTATGTAGGAAGTCAGAATATTTTTGAAGCTTGTGGTTGTGGTTTTTTCCATTTGTAAAGCATAATTTTCACTGTTGCTAATGCTTAACCACTGCACACAAAATATTTAGGCATTTATGCTCACCATTCAAGAATGTGCTAAAGACTAAATTACTCTATAAAGTATCTCACATTTACCAATATGGTTTTAAGGAAGCAAAATGATACTATAATTACATCAAAGAGCTGTCATTTATAGTACATAGTTTGTGAAGTTTTCCACAAAATAAGTCCAAAACACTACTACGTATAGGATAATTTTCTAAAAATGTAAAGTTCCCACAACTCTTGTTTCTAGACATACAGGTATTTACAATCACTTTAAAGTACAGCACTATGTAACCACATCTTATTTAAATCTCAATTGTGTGACAACCAACACACATGAGGAGTGTTCAGGTTTTTTTTTTTTATGGATGAACCAGAATGCTAAACAATACAAAAAAATTAAATATAATTGTCCTTGATTCATACCCAAACAATACAGTATTGTTCTAGTCAACAACAATATTGACAAGAGCCAATCACAAATCTACACATAATTGTATTGTTACTAGATAAATAATATATGAAAGTTAATTACATGATAAATTAATAATGAGGAAAGGAAAAAAAATCAAGCCTTTTCACGTCAAACTGCAAAAGCTCCAAACACAACTCCGACTATAGTGCTGCTAAGCATTTCTGATGAGTCGTTTTTCAAACGACAGTACATCATTAGGTATTAACAGGAAGGAGTCAAAAACCACTTTCAACAAACACAAAAACAATCCTAGCAGACATTTTTCTCTCCAATGCAATGCAGAGTAAATGAACCATGAAACTGAAACACCTGTTACCCTTCTAAGATTCACTCAAAGGCTTGCAATGCAGCACAAAGACAATTACGTGTGTTAACACAGGACATAACTCTTTAACATGTATTCAGCAGTATACATCACTAAAACTGAAAACATGAGGGCAGGAGCCCTGCAATTCCCTCATATTTCCAAAGCTGTTTGATGAAAAGATAGTATCCTAGCAGATATTAGTGAATATGTAAAAAGACATGACAGTGCCGGGTTCAAAATATCACTTCTGGTTTAAAGCTCTTCAATGGCCCTTCATGAGCTGCGATCTATTACTCCATTATTCTACAAATAACGTAGAAAGGAAACACACCTGAAAAATGACTTAATTCTAAAGTCTATTCAAGCAATTTAACATACAAGTTAAAAACATCCAGCATTTAGCAGTTACGGGAATTGTTATTCCAGTGTAGTGTCTTTTCCAATATGACAAATAATTGTGTGTTCACTGGTCTGACAATATGCTTATAGCATTTACTTTGATAAGCTAAGATCTGTGTAGTGTTCACAAATTTCCATTCCTCTAAGAGGATACTCAAAAAACAGTAGTCTCCAGCTCATTCTAGGACACTGTCGGCTGACTTTTAACATCTTGCTTTTTATTACCTTTAAAAAAAAAGGTTTATCACACAATGACTTCCTTGACCCTCTCCCTCCTGATACTTCTTTCTCCCACAGATAATTTATTTAATTATTTAATTTCACTACACGTCATGTTAGGTTTACATTTCTGCTCTTAATACTGGATAGTTTTAACTGCCGGCCTCTGAGAGGTTTCCTTTAAAGGGAGCTCTGTTATATTATCTGCCCACACCTGCTTCCTTACAATATGCCTGCAAGAATCAAAAGTCAAACTGTCAGCAGTAAATTAACAAAAACAGCATGACACTTGTGTTCCAGTCCCATCAAACCACTTGTGACAGGTGATCTGCAGAAACTCACTGTGTTTCCCTTAAGTGCAGAGCAAACTACTGGCCTGGTGTTCTGCTATACACAAGGGATCAGCACAATACCAGCTGAACTCCTTGCCAGATTAAATATATAACCTCAGAGGAAGCAAAGCAGGACCTTTTAGTTGTTATTTGATGGAGACTCACCTTGTTCACAGTTTTTGCCACCATAATACAGTGGGCACTCACAGCCATAGGTATTCCATTTATTTATACAGGTCCCTCCGTTCTGGCATAGATTTGGACTGCAGAAATTCTTCTTAGCTGTACAACCTACATTTCATGAAAAAATAATGGGTTTCAAAGACCTTGTCAGCAATTATACTTCTAAAAATGTGTGGCTGTAATTTAATTCAAATATGCAACAATAAACTCTCGGGCGTATAAAACCTTGTCGTTGACCTCACCTTTATCAGATGTTTTGCTACATTTTATTGTGTTTTGCCAAAATCCCTGTGTATTTAATTTCTCTTGTAAAACCCAAGAAGCCTGGGGGAAAACATCTATCCAGCAATACCACAATATCATTTTTACAAAGAGGACGACGAAGAAGAGACAGGGGGTGCCTTCTGGCTATAGCACATATCACTGTTATGGGCAACACTCTTAGCCCTTTTGTTCAACAGAAGCTTCCCACAAGACATAATACCAATAAGCAAACTAACTAGAATTTGTTGACTAGTTGAGTTGAGACTAGAAATCAAAATCATTCCAAAAATGTATTTTTAAATGAAGTCCTACACCCTTCTTCTTAATCATTTAATTAAAATGAAATCATTTTTTTCTTCCTGAATATTCAATATAACTATGATAACTAGTTAGAAAAATAAGATAACCTGCTGTGGTGCCATTATTCGCTATGAAACTGGCCATATCAATGGGTTTGCTGTCAATGGTCAGGTTCCTCATGCAGCCCACAAACTCCCGGTTTCGGACAGGGAAATCCTCTGGGAGGTTTGGAACCCCTCCAAGAAGCAAAGGCCCTGTAAGGTCCAAGGACCTGGAGAGAAAAGATGGTACTTTACTTATTAATAATCTGTGCATATTTGAATCCTGCAGGTGTTGCTGTGCTTCAACCAATGACAAACAACATAAAAACATCATTTAAACAAGGGTTTGAACTTCAATATATGTAAAGCTGAGTAAAAATTTGAGTTCATGTGATTTGAGATAATTGAGGTTAAAGATCAAAGAAGATTTTCACTTTGTGTTTATCAATGATGAGGACATAGATGTCATTCAAAATCAAAAGAAGTGAGGTCAGCAAGTAAATGATTTCATATGGAATGACCCACTGTTAACAGTTAGGATTAGATAATCGGTTTTCACACAAAGTACTAGACGATAAAATATGAGTTAATTCTTGAGAAACATGATGAACTTGAGAGTGTGAGTTGTAGTCTTTTGATGGCATCTAATGAGATAAGATGTGTGCCCTTTATGAAGCATCTTTTTACTTTATTGTCTTCTGATTAAAATTAAAGGCCCTACAAAATCTTGGATGATTAAGATTTACTGTAAAATGGAAGCTATGTGAGAGGTTAGCCATCTTTCAAGGAATCACTGAAAAATTTCAATAACATGGATTAGCACCGTTTTAAAAATGAAATGTGAACATTGATATTAATAGCAAAAATCATCAGCACCAAAGTAACTCTCAGAGCCTTTAACTTTCATCAGAGCTTAAGAAAGGGTTTTTATTTTAGTGAGTATGTATATCCTGTTAGGTCTGCCCTTGAAATGACAGCTGCAGGCTCACAGCCAGAGAACTCACTTCTTTGGGCCAGTTTGAGTTCCCTGAGCAGCACAGGAGTAGTTTCCAATGTGGCTGCCAAAACGAACAGCCATTGCAATGTCACAGTCATCCACTGCTACTACAGCCACCTTCTCTCCAGAGGGCCCATGTGGAATACCTAGTCGTCCGATGTTGGGCTGGAACACAGAACAACAATGAACTGACTTATGCACAAATCCAATAAAGAGACAAAGGGAAAACATTATAAGCAAAAACCAACTGATTGCACAAGATCAGATAAGCAAAACGGTGCCAGACACAAGGGTCATTAAAATTTGCTGAAATTGGCTTTTAAAGATAGGACAGAATTTCAGCTATGTTCATTTTAAATCGTACAGAGCTATCCTCAGGAAGTCTATGTGGGCTATTAGAATTGACTCTAAAAATAAGCAATCCCTTAGTGCTTTTCAGAGAAAGTTCACAATACTTTAAGTACTGTTGTTCTAAAGCTATAAAAAGCAATGTGTGCTTATGACAAATGTGATATGCTGCAATGGAATCAACTGAATCATCTGGCTTTTCCAATGTCTGTGATTACATTCACATAAGCTCCAAAGATTTAGATCCTGACGTTCAAATTAACTAATATAATTAGTTCAGAAATATGTAGAAAATGTGAGAGAATTGGTCTTTCAGTTAAAGGCTATTAAACTATGATGATGCCATTACAACTGCAATTTGACATAGTAAAATTATCATTTTTGTGCACTGTTAAGTTTAAAAAGCCCTTATGCTTAGGTCAAGAGATAGAATATCTTTTGCTCAAGGGATATAAAGATCTCCCTTATCACATGAGTACTATACTACAAGCAATATAGATCAAAGCTCAAAATATGGAAAGTTGTTTAGAGAAGGTATGTGGATTTTAATCCTGAAAACATGAGCAAACTGCCCATTTTAGATCAACAGTTATAATTCTCCAGAGAACTGAATATTGTGCTACTTTGGTTAATTATAATGCCTAATTATATTATGGCTAAGTTGAAAGTGCTCATTCTTTGTCTATCCTTTTATAGAGAATGACAATTTTCCACTTTTTGGTAATACAAATGTGTGGTGTGCCATAAGCCATCAAGATAAAATCTGTGAAGCTTTTATGTACATTTTCCATACAACTTAATTTTTTTTTTACAGTGAAACAAGTACAAATACCATCCCTTTCCCTTGAGAAAGGAAATCCCACATATCTCAAAGACACAGCAGCACAGACGTGAGTTTTTTTTATGAGCTACTTTGTAAAGTTTCAAAATGTTTTCAGGTTGTCAAAAGTCATTGTTTATAGGTTGCTGCCCCTTGTCCTGAATGTAATGAGTAATATTCCAGATGTCTACATATTCATGCAATTCTTTAACTTTCCATCAGCATTTTCATTTACACAACACCATTTTAGCTGCAAGCAAGGTTTAATTCCTTGTAAAGATCAATTAGTTTTCTGTTAACTGTGAAAAGGAAAAACCCTGCTATGATGCACTTTGGTTTCATTACTGTAGCAGTTTGTGGAGCAGATGATTAGAAATATAATTTTTGTACAAACTGTACAATGCATAACTTGGTATATTTTCTGACTAACTTACTCTACTTGTCAAGTTCAGCTTTGAGCCTGTTTTAGACATAACTTTTCCACAAAAACCAAACAAAATTTCAGAGTGTTGGGTGACAATGGGAAAAGCTTTTAAGAGTATGCAGCTGCAAAGCCATAGTCCTGGCCTTGGCCTTCAAGAGAGCACCAGCTCAGTTTAATAATATAAAGGATTACTGGTAGTAAGGCAGTCTGAAGTGGCTCCTCCATTTAACTTTAGGACAGAAACAGGCAGTACAAGTCCAATAATTCATCGAGCTTTGAAGACTTTAAAGGGAAGCACACAGTGCACAAATCTAATTAAAATACTGGCGACCTGCCAACAATCATATGAAAAAGAAAAAGCACTTTAAAAGCACAAACAGCCTGCCGTTGGCACAGGGCCTTTCCATGAGCTCCACCCGCTTATGGCTGCTGTTTATAAAGTCTTTCACACAATTGAACACCCAAGCTACAGCTGCCTCCACAGTAAATATGAGGCGTTCCACAGATCAGAGGATAACGCAAGTGCTGACAGATAAACACAGACTGTGGCCAATGCTTCACATCTATAAAAAAAAAGAATACTGTTCCGAAGGCAAACCTGAATATCAAAACCTCTACCACATGTACAGTACAAAGCTTCATGCAGTTAATCTCAATTACATTTATGTCATAGCAGTGAATGTGAATTCTTATCTATTTTTATATCCTTGCTGTGATGAAAGCAAAACTGTAGCACTTGAGGAGAGAAAAATATTGCCCAGCTCTATGTAATCTTTATACGAAGACCAAACAAGGAGAAAGGCTGCCCAGCTCAGGAGAAAATTGCTTTTTTATATTGTTTGCTTAAAGCAGTCCACAGTTATTTATCAGGTTTCTCTGGCTCAATCAATGGCAATAAATGAAAATGTACAACTCAGATTTATCTTCCAAAAAAAAAACTTATGTTGACCTAAATGAAAAAGCAGTGACTACTACACTTTTCATTCTTCAGCCCTTAACCTGCACAAAAGTATTTGAAACACTCATGTTGAAATTCACTGCATGCTATATCATTACATGTCTGGAATGTGTGAATATTGTTTATATGCATTTAAATTGCAGTCTGAATCTTGCCTTTCAACTACAAGAGAAATACCAAAATGAGACTTCCAGGCTCAGTCAAAAACTAGGAATTTGAGTGCACAATGCTTGAGTAATGGCAGTTCTAAGTTTCAATATATATAGAATCTAAAAAAAAATTGTAACGCCAGAGCTATTAACCACCAAGGGCACTGACACTGGATGAACACTGAACTGGCAATGATCCACACAATGAGAGCATCACTATTCGACTGTGACTGGGATTCCCTGAGCAGATGAGCACAATTCACTATTTTAAATAAAAAATGAAGAATGACAAGCACTGCCCTTGAGTATTTTTAATACATTTTTTCAGTTATGGTTTGAAATAGTTACAGCAACTAACTATTGTGAGAAATAAGGACTGCTGGTTACATCCCAGTGCCAATGCAATCCCTTTTCTCAGTTCAGACATGATCTCCTTTGGAAGCCAGCCAACAAACCAAGCCTTCTTAGCTCTTTCATTAACCTGTTGGCCTTCAACCAACAGACCAGAGAAAAATATCTGGATTCGCCAACAATACTTCACCACTCTAGAGGAAAAGGCTCGTTAACTGCCAGTTACTCATATCTTTTCTTTTTGTGTTGGTTCTAGTTGGGAAATTCTGTTTTTGCCCCAACTCACACCTTACATTCAAGCAAATAAAAAAATAAATAAAGAGAGGTCAAAAATGATTGACAGAGATTAAACAAAACTAAAGCATGTATTATCTGGCCTTAGTGTTTAAAAAACAGCCAAGTACATTTAAAGAGTTGGAAGAATATAACCCACTTAGAGAAAGCAACCTGTAATGTTGGAGTCTCATTACCCTGTGTATTTACTTTTTAATAACTCACTTTAAACATCCTATCCAAATTATTGTGTTGTCATCAAATATAAAAAGTACAATATTTAAAAAATGAAGCCATGCCTGTTACAGCTATTTCATTTAAAAATCTAAAACTACCTGCAGCAGAAGTGTGTGTATGCAATAGAGATAAGAATCAAAGGATCGCTTTCGAACTAGTTTTGTGGAAATGTCACACATATAATTTTTGTTTGTAGACAAAAACTGTTCTGCCTAAGAACTGTTGCATCTTATAATCAGTGGCTTGTGCTGTCAAGTAACTCCTATATGAATTTTCATAACAGGAGTTGTTAAGGCAAGAGGAACTTCTATTTAATAAAATAGAGGATTAGCTATATAGTTTCTCCTCAATGTCTGGAATTCCAGGTTTATCTATATTTTTTAGAACAATGTTGTACTATTATGTCTGAGAAAAGGACAAACAGTGTACTCTAAACAGGTAGATTAGTGAAGCAGGCCAACACAAGACTATGTTTGTAGAACAGTTAAAACAACCTTAAGAAATTAAGGGGATTCAGTCCACATTTTCCAGTTTCATTACGCATAGATGAAGAGCTTTGTTCACTCTAGTTATATAAGCTCATTTAATTGGTCTAGTGCTTTTGGCATAATACATGATGATAAGGCCACCCCTACAATAAGTCTGTATAAGTACTTCAGATTTCCAGGGCTTGATATGCACAGTAGATTTACAATAAATGTAAGACAAGAGCTCTTGAATCATTAATTTTGTGTCTGCCGTGTCTGCTTTATTCTCTTTATTTAACTGTCCTTCAGGTGTGACGTTTCTTGGCTGTCAATTTAAGAACTGACAAGCTTTGTGCATTCAGAAAATTATTTGAGAGAGAAGAAAACACTTCAAAAATCATTACCATTATCAGAGGCTTCTAAAAGCCTTATCCTTAATGTGAATGCAATGGTAACTTCAAATTTAGTTAAGTCCTCTAAAGAGGGTGCTTGTGCTTTTTTTTTTTACTTTTTCAGTGCTAGGTGTATCAATGGTGAATCTCTTTCTTCATTACAAATCCTTTCAATAGAAACTTTTGTTAATGTGCCTAACTTGACCATGACTTCATGAAGCAATCCATTTGTAGCAATGATTTCATTAACATATCCGACATAACATTAATGTCTCCTTTGAGGTGAAAAAATCCAAATGAAGAGGTTACATCACGTTAAAAAGTGTAACTTAGTCTATAACTTCCTCATGGTAGAAGCAGAATAGGACCCATATTTCAATACTCTCTCCCAGTGTTAGGGAATACTGTGACTTGAAACTTAGAAGCACAGTTATGCCAGCTGCATGTATAATTACATTTTCAAGAACATAACGAAAAACTTATTTTTTATGCAGTTTCACTCATGTACTGTATATGAAGGAATAATCATCAACATTAATCAGCTAAGAAAATTATAACAAAGGACTTTGACATTATATACTAAAGGCAGGATGATAAGTCTAGCGTTGTAATTGGATACATACAAATGTGTGTTTGCATTACTGCCTCACAGCTTGAAACGCTGGTTGAATTCCAGCCCAGGGCACATTCTGTGTGGAGTTTGCACATTCTGCTTGCATCTGTGTGTTTACTCTGAGTACTCAGGT